GACCTTGAGCCATTTTTATCGCCCGGTTGGGGGTGGGGAGTGTAGGACTCACTGTGGACCACATGGTTTTCAGGGGGATGAAGGGGAGATCAGTCGTCGCCTATAAGTGATAACCGGTCCTTGGTTGCATGTATGCCATCTAAAGGTGATATCACTGTACCAAGTGGAGAGCACTCCACTCTTCCCTCCCTCTTTACTTAATTATGGCATTCTTAAAATAAATCTTACTTTGTATATTAAACTACATGCAGATGGTTTCATGGATATTAAAAGATCTCGAGATTCATTGTTATAAAGAAGCTCTAAAAATCCATCTCGTTCAAACGACACTGTGTTTCCCTTCAGAATTCCTTTACCCTCTGGAGTTTATAAGCATCACATTTACCTATACACTGTGAGATATCGCTCGCTCCTGCATATAGTGTCGTCTTGTTGTCAGGGCAACGGAAGCAAAAGTTCTCTGATCTGTTAGGTTGGTAGGATCCTCTTGAGCAGTTCATACATTTGCGCAGGTAAATGTCATAGTACTTTCCAGGCTGACAGCGAGCTGCAAAAATGAACAGGGGTAAAAAAATTATTTCCGAGTCAAATGCATCTCAACTCAGCTGGGATAGCTTTAAAGTAAAACGTTGGAGCCATTTTCAATTGAGTGGCGAAAGTAATCCGGGGTTGCTCTGTTTTTGTTCCACTTTGTTTTGTGATTGGCTCAAAAAAACTCGCGTGACTTACTCGACGTACCAATCAGATTAAAAACTAAAGCTAATCGCGACTTGGTCGCTCGTGTTCTCCCGCGCTTTAATTTTTTTTTTCGTCTTTAGTTCTCATAGACTCCTCGTGATATTTCCTTCCTATGTTTGGCTGTTTTGATCGCTTTGGTTTTGGTTTGACAACCCTTGATTAAAAAGGGCTCTACTTGAGTTTCAGTGAAGTCTTGTTTTATATGGATTACTCAATCAAGCACAGATATTGTGCCCTTTGCTTCTCTTATTTGTTATTCAAGTTGTTACTTTTAGTTGTTGAGCGTGAGCGAGACTATGATTTCCCTTTTATCCCTTAAGGATGCTCATATCACATATGAAAATGTTTTAGCGTTGCAGGTGATAATTTTTGGCTCAGTATTTTCGTCTCTAAAACCATAGGGACTTAAAGTTGTTATGAGTCAGTGGATCAATGTCAGTTCCCCCAACCCAACGACAGCTAACTGATGACAAGTTAGGATTAATGTTGGGTTAGGGGAGGGGTAGGTAGGTCGGTAGGTTGGTGCGTAGTTGCTTAGATACAAACATTGGTTCGAGCTAGTTAATCATATTGCACACCTTGCCGCTTAAATTTTTTCCTTGCTGTCTTGTAGCACTGATCACCCTCTTCCTTCCCTTTTTCTTCTTTCTCCTTCTCTTCCCTCTCTTTTGAAATTCGCAGAGTATTTCTAGCGAAAGTAAACGTCTTGTCATATAGCGTCACGTTTAATTTGTAGCCATTAGTGAGCCCTCGAAGCTCGGCGATCAGTTTTTGTAATCTGTCCTCCATCTGACATCGCGCGCATGTGATATTACAAAATTTCGAAGGTGAGATCACATTTTGATGAAGTTCGATGTCAAAATATACGGACACCACAAGACGATCCCCATCCTTTGGACGGCAACGCAAAAACGGCTTGTAAATCTTGCAGGGAAAATTACAAGCATCCAGACTCAAAAGCTTTGTATGAAATTTGCTAACAATGTGATCTTTGATATCCTTCGATTTGCAGGGCAAGGCCTCCGCCATCTTGATCCTTATTCTCTTTCTGACTTCCTCTGTGGCTATGGAAAGAAAAAACTCTGTTTTAGCCGAAATACTCTCTCTTCTCTTTCAGTATAAGGATTTATACCGAAATATTCCTCTGGATGTGGGTGACGTAGTGCTCTTATGGTTAGTGCGTTGGACTCCGGGTAGAGAAGTCTGGGGAGTAGTGATGCTCGTAATCTCTTCATGCTGATGAAACTGGGATAAATAGCTCCGGCCGAGTGGGCCCCCTCGAGTGCAGACTCAGCCTTATACCTCAGGATTCGCAAGAGGGAAAATAATATGAAAGAGGAAGGTAGATGAAGGAACAACTCATAAGGATCTCAGACAATAATCATTGGACAATTATTTTTTCGCAGCTTACCCAGACAATCTCTTTTGTTCGGGTGTAAGTGAAAGCCCTCATTACAGCTGCATGAAGCGTGTCCGTTCGAATTCCGCCGGCAAAGGTGCTGACAGCCTCCATTGTTTGCAGAACATGGATCAAACTCTGAACACAAAGAAATATAAAATTTAAAGAAAGTGACAAAACTTTTGAGTCGGTAAAACATGTTTCGACAGAAAATTCTGTCATCTTCAGTTAATTCCTATACAAAGCGTTGGAAGTTGAATTATATTATAAGTAGAACAGTGCTAACTATGATAAATAGTGGCAACAAGAAAAGAGGTAAAGCATGAAAGTGTGAGAATTGAAAGGATAATTTTAGATTTCAATTCTCACACTTTCATGCTTTACCACTTTTATTGTTGTCACTATTTATCATAATTAGCATTGTTCTACTTACTATATAATTCAACTTCCAACGCTTTCTACAATAATTAACTGAAGATGACAGAAGTTTCTATCGAACATGTTTTACAGACCCAAAAGTTTTATCACTTTCTTTAACTTGAATTCTTGACTTGCCTGCGAATATCAAGACCCTAAAGAAATATAGATTACAATACTTTGTACCTTCTTCCAAACCAGTAACCTTTATTTAGTAATCTTACAAAATTACCTCAGGAAACTTTTGTTCAACTTGAAATTTAGTTGGAAATGATTAAAAAGACGTTTTCGATCGCCATTTTGCAGGTTTTCTCTTCCCTGCAATGTTTACCCACCTAAACGTTCCTGTCCGCAAAAAGACTGGGAACTAGAGATCAGAGTTCAAAGAAAATGTTGGCCGGATCGATGATTTCGCTAAAAAGTTTTTGGCTTTTCTCCTTCTGCGTACAAACGTTTTTAGTCCCTGAAACGTGATTTCTATTTGGGAGTATTTCGGGCGCCGAATTTGTGATTCACGGATTAAAGAAGAATCTTTCAGAAATTAAGCTTACGTAGATATATTTATCATTAGCCCTTCGTCAATCACTCTGACAAAGGGCTAATGCTCGAAACGTCAGCCTTTTAACTCTTTACGGTGACCAATTTACGTTTTTAACTCAGTTGTTAACACTAAATTACCTGCTATACTCTCCCACCGACGCAGCACCACAGTTTCTTTAGAAACTTACCCCCTTTATTCAATAGCCATCATAGGTTAGGAACCATTATGCCATGCGCGCGCATGAAGACGAGTTAAACCGGAAGTGTTTTACACATTGTAACATTCTGTTTGTTCTTACAAAGTAAGTTGGGAAGATTTATCCATATTTCGGGGCGTTTTTGATAAAATAATTATTCCACTCTCGCTTATAGGATATAAGATGATTATAGCCTGCTCGGCCCATCTCACATCCAACGTGCACTCGTGGAATATCATGGACGTCTTTATTACTCTAGAAAGCCTTAGATGCGAAGCATACAAATTCTAAACTTCACTACAGTCGCATATTAATGCATTTATAATATTTCTGCGAAGAATAACGTTGCTTTCCTCTTAATACTAAGAATATTGTTACCTTTACATTTCCGCCCGTCGCCAAGGTAACCCGGCTTACAGATGCATTTGAATAATGAACGCTTGACTGGGTGGCATTCAGCAAATTTATGGCAATCATGATTGCCGGTCGCACAAGGTGAATCTGCAGCAGGAAAAAAGCAGAATTGTTACTAGGAAAGTCTTCGTCGATTCAATTTGTTAACAAACAAAACTCAATTAGGATTTTGGCCAATGGCCGCGAGCCACATGACTCCAACTTTGAAATTACGGAATACTAAGTTGAAGCAAATGCATGCGTGTGTGCGCGCGTATGGGGAAACAGACCATGTTGAAGGGAAGATATGAACGCATATGTTCTTCTTTTTCAAACAAAGCAAAGTGTCTCACTAAGGTTGTCGTTAGGACGAAGTGAAGAGGTCATTAAAGTCAGACAGACTGACAAACACATTGTGCTCTGTACACTAAAATACTGTAATTTCAATCCCTTGTTCTTAGCTTGTGCTTACTTGAAGTGCTACGCCTCCATTATAACTTGGATTTTGTTGAGTGTATCGCACTTAGAGGTGAAAAGTGCAACTACTATTGAAAATTGAGCGGAGAGTTGGCCGACTCACAATTTCTACAACTAACATGCTCCAATCACCTGCAAAAATGGGCAACATTTGTGAAATCTGACTCTAATCCTTTACATTTATTCCATTTACTCTGATTTCTCAAGTTTTTTCATTGTAGTTTTGATTGTCACATGGATAGCTATTCACTTATGTCAGTGGAGTGAAAATTAACTGATGTCATTGGGAGTGATTAAACGACAAGTCAGCTTTCTTAGTACCTCAAGCGCTTATTCGTTTAGTCTGGACACCGGCGCTGGGTTTAGACCTCATTGGCGGGTGCTCAGAAAGAAGCTTTTCCAAACGCCAAAATAAAGAGGCTTTCGCTATCAAATCGACAACGAACTGATGTTATCTACTAAACTCGAGCCAGACGACACGAAAAGATTCCTTACTACGAGGAAACGTCGCGTGAGCGTTGGCGTTTGTCTGATCATGATGTTAAGTCCTGATTAAGCAAACTGTCCTTTTAAACCGTCCGATAACTCAAACCGAAGGCCTGTAATTTAACTCCCGATTTCGCAAACCATTGGAAACACAAAACGCTCCACTTCAGAGAAGTTTTGATTTTAAGTAGAGCCACTTCAACTTTAGTAATCTTTGTGGTACTCGTTTACTCGCTGTGGTACAGTTTCGTACGGCGAGGATATTTTTTTTGATAAGAGTTAAAACGCAGATAACTGTTGGACCGTTGTACCACCCAGTGTGTTCGTTCCCCTTTGTTGCGCCGTTTTGGAATTTATCCCTAGCCTGAGGCACGCTTTGTCTGAAATAAAAAATCTTTATCTTCGGAGTGAAAAGAGAGCCACGGTTGCAGCGGCACTAATGAGTTTTGAATCCTGTTTTATGTTCTAAATGTGGGTTTTTACTATTCATCGATACCACGAACTGCCAATTTTTCGAGCCTGTTGCTTTAAGATATCCACCATTACCACAATTAGATGATGTTCAGAGGGAACTCAGTTAGCTTTTAACTTGTTAAGGCATCAAATAAATTGAAAATTCAGTTCGCACGTGAACTGAATACTAATTTGAATATGGTCGGTTGCCAAACTATTCTGATCAATCTACCCAGAGATGTCTTTGATGTCTTTGAAGAATGAAGTCTTTGAAGAATGAAGGTACCTCGTATTACAAATGTCTTACTTCAAACCGATCAGTGATGCTGATGAACCGTCAAGGAAAAAGCAAATGATCTAAGCATTTATTTTTCAACTTCTGAGCGTTAACCCCCACGCTTTTTCAGTCATACAACCTTCACGGTATTTCTAGCTTTACTTTTAACACTGGATTTCACGGAGAAATCAATTTTTATCGTCTTCCAGTTTCATTCACCATCCGCCAGTGTATGTCAAGTGTTATTCAGTCTTACCGGCGCAACAATGCTGGCGCTGTTGAGACATAAGCAAGATTAAGTATCTCATCTCTGCCATAAGGTAACCGGCATTTAAGCAGTGATAAAGTTGATACAGCGTTAAATGATAAAGCGACTTCATTACATTCCGCACGGGTGGCGAATGAATCATAAAATAAGCACGCGTCGCATGTGAATGAGGTCGTGATAATTCGCATGAGGCGCGCAATGTTCCGCGCATTTTCACTCTTCTCTATTTCCCTGTACTTTTCAGGTATCTGAGAGCATAAAATCCTGTAAGTGTCTCGGGAGCTCGAGTTTGATCTTGACATCAAATAAAACTTGTTTTCTCTGGTAACCTTCCGGACTAAGCTGTGTATTTCAGGCCCTAAGGTGTCTAACCTACCAAAAATTTGACGTAGACATATCATGTTTTTTCGTCTTGCCACGGGCTTGAGACGAAGATAGAATTCCGAGTCTCTATCAGAAATAAACAAACCTCTGACCTTCGCATTCCGTACCCCCATGCTCTACCACTGAGTCACAGAGACACAATGTGCTAGTTTATTTGTAACATAAACAATGATAGATCATTCGACTTTTTTTTCCAAAAGAATGAAAACAACATTGCAAACGTCTTAAGCAAGTGGCTACAGGATCCATTGAAATGTATAATTTTTATAATTCTCAGAACACCCTAAAATCATCTTACACGTCCAATGGATCATTTCCATTATTTATTTATTTTTTATCACCATAATCATTTCGGCTTCGTAGGTCAAGTGTAACATTTTATTTCTAGCTGTAGGTTTTATTGGGTTTAAAAACTTATTGTTTTTAAAAAGCACCGAGATACCTATGATTTGAAAGGGAAGAACACTCGAAATTTAAAATTTCTTCCAAATCTTGTCTCCTTTCTGCTCAGTTTGCTCGCGTTTCATGTCAAGTATGTATCCTTTCAAATTTACGCCCAAGTGTATATGGACAGTGTCCTTGGATTTCCTCTTTAAGTTTGAAAAGACTTAACATAAAACAACTTTCAAAAGTCCCGCAAAGAGTAGTCTAACATCTCTCTAAAGATCATTTTTTTGCTCTTTTTGTCATGGAGTTTATGCCGATGTATGAACTAACTTTCTTTATGAATTCTTTCCAAATTATGTGATCTGTGTATTCGGTTGACGAATCGGTATGCTCGTAACTGTCTCGAAAGATGCTACCCATGTTATAAGTAAATATCTCCCGTGAGTGTCTTTTTGTAGATTCTCATTAAAACGATAGACCGTCTTCTTCACATTGGCCTTTCAGAATGGACCCATGATTTTTAACCAGAGGAACCTTTAAGTTTTTACCACATCAATGCCTTCAAAGAATCACATGAAACTGAGAGCAGGATGTCATCGAACTATTAATATCTTGAGATGAAAAATGGACGGAAACGGGAATAACAAAGCACTTGAAAAATGACATCAAAGGAATGGTAAATAAAGTCAAGATAGATTCCTTCGCTGACCTTATCCGAGGAAGACTCCAAGAATTACGCAAAACGCAACTTAAACGAGAAAAAAAAAACAAAACAAAAAAAATTTGTCATGTAAATCTCTTCCAATTTCCTCTACGCAAACAGCTTAATAATTGCGATTAGAAATTTCATCGTGATATAACTGCGGTATGAAGATTTAATATAGTTGGGTAGCTATCAGTATATGGTGATGTCAGAATGAACTTTGAAAATTGTTGTGTGTTTGTTGTGTAATGAAGAGTAATCACTTTACCAAGTTGGAATGCGCCGTAGTCTGCTTTCTGTCAAGCTGACATGAAATCTGGGAAAATGATTAGTAAGGTAAACTTACAGTGCGTCTTAGTTTTCGATACCGCTAAGTAGAACATAATGGCAAAGAAAATAACCATTTTAAAATGTAATTTGTCTCTGTATTGGATTTCCTGGGTACGAAATGTAATAATGAAGACTTTTATTTTCAGATTAGAGTCCCGAACAAAACTTCACCGGTTAAAACGCGAAATGGGTCCTTACAATGAAACTGTTGGTAAATTCTTGATCACGAGAGGCTTGTCCTTGGCGGAATTCAAAGGGCCAGTTTTAATTTGTATATCTAACACAGTATTGATTTCTTTCTCCTTGTCACCAAGTGGGGTTTTAATATGCTATTTTTGCAGGCGGTTTCTTTTGGCAAATTCTGTCGGAAATTTCTCGCCAAAAACGTGTTTTCTGCCGGAAGTTGTTGTTCAGATGAGGGACGGCCTCTTTTGTGGAAAAACTATGGAACTGTCTCAATGTGTTATCATTTCAAGTTTTAGCATCCTAAATATGTAAGTGGTCACTAAAGTTGGAGTGATATTTAAGCGACATGGATTTGTCTGGAGGCAGAAATAGCTTGTAATACCGACCAAAAAACAGCGTGAGGACGAGAAACTTTGCGTGAGGCAAGGTCACAGAACATTTAGCGAAATTTTTTCCCGTTCATAAATGGTGCAAAAATGTAATAGATCAAAATTAATAGAAAGGAAAAAAATCGATACTTTCTTTTAGCACGCGCTGAAAGCAATTCGTCAAACAAACGTTGTGTGAACAACAAAATATTTTCAGTGCTGGCTGGACAAGTATGCAATCAAAAGCCAACAGAGTGCGATAAATAAAACAGCATAACGCTGGAACTATCTTAATAACACATCACCCTCAGACATCTGGGTTTGAGCAAAATGGCAAAGTTCATCCGCGGGATTCAATTCAAACGTTGAAAACTTTGAGTGGAGGGCTGCACGCTTATCAATCGCTACAAATTAACACGTCCTTGCTAATTTAAATTCCTCCCACGCAAAACATATTCCTCCTATCCGCGAAACGTTTTGGTAAAGTAAACAAAGAAATGAGCAATTTACTGATAATCCACACTCAGCGGACAACCCAAAACATCTTCATATTGAGCTCGTTGCGCGCGTCTTACCACCTGAAATAAAATGTTAAAAATGGCGTCATCTTTATCTTACCTTTGCCCAAATCCCGCTTGAATGTGATGCGAACCCTACAAAGACCTGATCCATTGTGAAAATTCCCGTAGGGAACTCGGTTGAACCCCGCATAGATATATCCGTCTGAGGGTGGACCGAACGTTGGCTTTTGTCCTGAGAGTGAAAAAAGGTATCGATTGTTTTTGATGTGGAAGTAGCTGGAAGAATTAACATAGTGCGTTTCCCAGGTTATTGCTTCATTCGCGATGTCGATTGTCATATTGGCTCCATTTTCCACAACTTCGTCCTCTGTAACCATCAAAGAATTTCCATTTTGGGAGTCAAACCTAAAGCCAGGTAGCTTGTTACTGTAGACTCGAAATTGCTGGTTGAATATTTCAGCCGTTGCGCAATTGCTTGAGTAGTTGAAGTTCGAACCGAAGCCATAGCTTGTTGGGACATTTGATATGGTTGCAGTCCAAAGACGAGGTTCTTCACCATAGATAAGTTCGATTTTGGCCTTCTTGAACGGTCCGTTGAAGTCCAGACGCACGACTGCTTGACCATCGCAACGATCCGGTTGGGAAGCAGCAGTGGGCTGGACGATGAAGCTTACCTGAGATTTAGCAGCATGGACTGAGGGTATCACTCGGCCTGACTGAAGATCTAACTCCACTTCCAGCTTGTTAGCGCCCTGTAGGACTGAATTGTAACGACGAGCGTAAGCAATGCATGTAATAAGTAGAGTTAATAGTCCAGCTGAACAATGCTCCATGCTCAGAAGCAAGTCATTTCACGTTCGCTCGACAAGCAAGTGGAAGCAGATGCTGTTTTATTACACAACTGCCGGACAAACACAGCATTTGGCTGGACATCTGTGCTCAGCCGCATGAAAAGCAAAAAGAGGCAACACAATAGTAAACCGCCTAATGAGAACGTTCAGATAGTTAGAAGCGCCCCCTAAACAACAGGACATTCAAACCTTTTATATGGAACAGCAGTAACACAATGAAAATCTGTGAGAGGAAGAGAAAAGATTTCATTGTGCAACCAACTTGCTTTCAAAACCGAGAGCTCTTTAGAAACGTTGGGGCTTCTGTTGTCGGCTTTGAATCCAAGGCAATTTGTTAATTGAAGGCTTAAATGCAAATCTCGGATAAATAAGACTTAAAATCGGCCCAACGCCGGTTCAAAAATAAGTGGATTCCACGACGCAGATTGAACGGGATGAGCTGCTACCACTGCCTGTTAAAAGTTCACCGTCTTCTTTCCGTCCGTCAGGATAATCAGCAGTTGAATAGCTACGTGTCGAATGCTGTTGACGTGAATCAGTTAACGCTCTTCACAAGAGAATTTGTATATATTCCCTTAATGAAGTGTAGACATCTCAGCGAAACTTATACTGCGGTCAGTCCTTCGGCGGATCAGGTGACCAGTTTTTTTGGCGTCAATTTGTAAATTTCACGCGATCCTAAGCAGTTTAGCTGAGAGTACTTTGTAAACTTAGACCGCGACACTGTTGAACTTCATCGCCGGAAAATTGATTCATTTTAACGTTTATGAGATAAAGAGTGCAACCGTTGTTATTGTAACCTCACGCCCTTTGTGAGGTTGTACGTGTATCAGATCCAACGGAATGATAGAGAAGGGAAGTCTTTTGACACTTCAAACTGTCTTTTTTTGGAGGCTTTTCAGGTACACCCTTTGAATCTTTTTTTGCTGCTAGAAATGAGACCTCTTGACCTTTTTTTTTACTTGAAATATACTTTTTCCTTCTATTCTACTAATTGCTAAATAAACAACCAGAAAACAACCGTCAACATGGAGTTTATCTGGAATTAATGCCCTTGCGATCTCAGGTGTCTATCCGTTTATTTTTTCATCGGTGAAAACCGTTTGATAGTAATTTCTAGATGTAAGTAATATTCTTGAGGTTTCCACCAGCATTTCTGAACATGTTTTCTTTGTCTTTAGCGGCTTTCCGAGTGTCTAACAACGTTTTTTAAACTTCACCTCATGTTTTGCATTAAAAAATTGTAATTCAAATGGTCCTAGCTCTTATAAACGTTTAGAAGAATGCTTGTTGAGCAGATGTGGGCGTAAGACATTGTCATCTCTAAGTTATATATCATATCTCCGAACGGATTAGAACTTTAAGAAAATTCTGCAAAAGGAAAAAACGTGCGGGTTTGAGCCGTTCTTAGAGATTATCTTAGCAAAGGAATGTTATCGCGAGCTCGGAAACTTCTTTGTTAAACTCTTCCTTGTTCAGTGATTAATGGTTGTCACGAGGTAAGTGTTTCTTGCCAAAGTGTATAGAAAACAATTTTGAGTTCCTGAAACCCAAAACAATATTTATTTCATTTCCCTTTGAAATAAATGAGTCCGTGGAGGATGTCCGAACAGATGAAGTGTAATTTTTCCAAGCGTCCTTGTATGCTATCCATCCTGCGCCGCCTGCGGAGTTCTTTGAGACTTTTGATCCACTAACAAGGTTAAAAATTTTAATATAAGATGATATATTGTTTTGAAATAGTCATGATACGTTTCACAGCATGACAGAGACGATTAATGAAGAACTCAAAGACCTGATGACTGATGCAGGCGAAGACCGCTTGAAATTCCTAACTCATCATAAAAGACCCCGATACTCTCACTACCCTTGGGCGAATGACTAAAAAATTTTTCAAAGTAGCCCCTATCGAGTGTGGAATGCTTCTTTTTCAAGTCGTTTGCTAGGAAGTATTCTTAGCCTTTCAATAACTAGTTAGGGAAGATTCCAAAGCAAAATTTCAAGATACGGTTACCTCGGGCTACATTAAATGTCTGAGATGGCTTACACTTGATCTTTCGATCTGATTTATTACTTATGCAATATCGTTACTAAATACTTAGAACTCTCAGCCAAAGCAGATTCTCCTTTTTATTTTTTAATGTCTCAATTCCCGAAGTTTCTTCAAGTTGTTTTTGTAATTCATGTTACATTTCAAGTAATACTGGCCAGTTCTTCAATAAGAGGGATGCAAGGCAGGACGTTTCTTGGTTTATGACTGCTTTTTTGTAAAGACTTTGAAACTTCGTGGGGACAATAAAATGAAATCCAAAGGCACGAAAGGTTAGCTCGTTTCATAGTCCAAGAGTCACGTGGAACGGCGATTATGTTTGCGGCGGACTTTAGAAATAACTATACAAGGATTACATGGATTACTGTCTCAGAAAATTATCAACCAGTCGCAACTTAAATTTGTAGAAAGTTCTTGAATTTAATGAGTGATTTGTGTTCTTCCTTAGCAGGTTCTGCGAGTTTTTACACGTGAGAGAACACGTGAATAACATCCTGGCTTTCTGTGATTTTTGACCGAACTCAAAATATTCCAACATCTTCTGATTGTTTACAGTTTAAACGCTTTTGATACTCAGTTGGTCCTAGCGTTTTGAAATTCAGGGCGCTTGTCCCTCGTGAATAAAGTATGTGACCCACGCTTCCAGACATAATTAGTTGGGACACTTCTCCAGAACAACTTTTGTAATGTCTGCTTCGTCCTCCTCCCCCCTCCGCTGTTTATTTCTTATTTGTCTTTGTCATCTTGCAGACAAACATTAAGAGGAGCAGGGAAGGCAGTTGATTTCCCAACAAATACGTCTGGGAGAGTAGTAGTGGAAGGGCATTGCGCCACAAAATCCGAAGGTCTGCCGGTCGACGCTTCTTGGACGACTCGGCTTTTCAGTTCTTTGTCATACCCTGGACCCGGCAACTGAAGAGCTTTTACATTCGTTGATCGAGCTCAAAATATTTCATCTTTCTCACTCTGTTTACCGATGGGATATTTTTAATTATCCGCTAAGCAGGAATTGCTTCTTTGAGGCAAGCCCTTCGGTCTTGAAATTCAGAAAAAGATAACAGACACCATTGACTTAAATCATTTTAACTTATAGCTCTATTTTTTGGAAAGATAAAAACATTGTTTTTGATTAGTCATGTTTAATGCGTTATCCTCATTTGATTTGTCGAGTTCCCTTTCCTAGACATCGTCGGATACAATTAGTTACCGGTATGTAAAAGGTGTTGCCGGTTACTTAAAAAAATAAGTAAGCTGGCAAAATGAGTGGGAGCATACCTTAGTGACGCGGCCATCGCAGGTCAAGATCACGGTTTGACGTAACCTTCTATACAGTTGTGGCGAGAAATTATGCACGTTCCCTTGAAAGACCGGATGGGTTAAAAAAGATACAATTTACGTGAACCATTTCTTCTTGATTGTTCTATTATCTCGATATCTGTTGATGAGAAAACATGACTTTTAGCTTCAAACTGTTACGTGCCAGTATTTAAGGATAGAAATATAACCAGGAAATACTTAGTTATTGAGGGAGCAATGTGTTACTGTTTTCAACGAGGATACTTGGTAACAAAATTGCGAAGTGTTTCGGGAAAAATTCGAGCTTTTTTTTTTACGAGTTTCCCAGACAAACATTTCCTGCTTAGATATCTTATCATGAACAATATATGAATTGCGGCTCTTAGTATTTATCAGCGCAGAAGTGGGTTAAGTAGTATGGGAAGACAACAGCACCGAAAAAATAGGAAAAAAACACTTCTAAGTCCTCTTCAAAGTATAACCTTTCAATTGTCTTCTTTTTTTTTTTCTGCAAATTTCCGTTCGTCATAATAATGTGATTATCAGGCAGAGATCAGACTGTGAGGCTGCAGTTTTGGAACAATGTTTAAAACGAAATAGAAAGTAAACTGTGAAAAAACTGCGCTTCTAAACTTTCTAAATTTATTTTCATCACTACGTTTTTGGCAGAAATCTGGATTACTTCTAAAATGGATTGCGTAATTTTAAATGAACACCCTCTGCAGCAAATGAGAAAAGTTAATTGTTTAATTAAGGCCTAGACTTGGAGAAAAAAAAAGCGCACAATGAATGCGTTTTTCAAAATTTTGGAATTTTTGGTGTGCAAAAACTGAAACTATGAAGACGATTGATAGTTGACACAAGGTAGTATCTTGTGCAATTGGTACGTCTATCAAACTTTAAAAGCTCAATTTTGATTCTCTTTTGAATGCCATTTAAGAATCCGGCCGGTGATTTTGACATGAATCCAAATTATACACAAAGCTATTGCAATCAAGCAGTAATCTGTTGTTTTAACCGAGTAAATCCCTGAATAGTAAAGCAAATACTAGTTGTAAACTTGATTGAAAGCATTTTAAATGTTATTCCTTTATTGCCTCGAATTGCAAGTTGTTCAAGCTAAGCTAGGATGCATCTCTTTATTCATATTTCTAGAAAATTTCCACAAATTATGTTATTTCTATCGGCCAGTAGTGAGTTTTCTTCATATTTGTTCACTTCGTCGCCTCTCTGCATTATCTCGTTATTCATCTAGATAATCATTGCGCTAAAAATAACAATGAACTTAAATTAACTACTATTAGTTTAGGGCCGGCTGAAAAAACAAAGGATTTGTTATGAAGATAGAAAAGATAGAATAACTCTGTTTGGGCTGAAAGCTATTAATTTACAAACATCGCTTAATCTCCAGTTAATTTTACTGCGATGTCTTTCATGCAGCCGGCTGGTGTAGAACGCGAGACAGTAAGCCGACAATGAATGACTGCTGATAGACTGGCTGACGAAAATGGGTTAAACGCCGCCGAAAACTGTTTTACTTTGGCCAGTTATGATATGCTCGCTTCTCTTCGGAAACGAATTAAAAACGGAAAGGGACGGCGTTTAAGCCGACAGCTTTATCTCTCACGGATCGTGCACGCTAAATACAGACAGCAAACGTGAACATTACTTCTCAAATGATTTCCATGCGCATTAATCACAATTTGAAATACAAAAATGAGGTTGTAACCCCATCTAATTGGCTAACGTGTCACACTTCCCTGTCATCAGTGGTTTGTTATTTATTTTTTCAGCGGAAGATGGCCATGCCGGAATCTTCAGAGATTGCGTGATAACCCATCCGAAGCGCTTACTTTCTCACGGTTCTTTGTAATCTAATTTCCTTAGTTATTGAACACGATGACAACAACTTCGCATTAATAGCTTTTGAATTAACTGCAGTAATTATTTAGGTAAATTAACAAACGTTGTCTTTGTCCATCAATTATCACTTATTCTAAAAGCGGTTTGTTTAGTTTTTGATGCATCGTTAATTGGATTAAACCTTCGCGATAAATTTAGAACTCTCATTTAATTATTTTTCTTTCAGATTTGAAAGGTCAAATAGATATCTTTCGAAGGTAGGTAATTGGAAAGAAATTGATGTTTTGTCCAATGTCGTAACCGTAGTAAAATTGCTTCAAATTTTTATCCATCTCTCAATATGTATTTATAAATGGTTGAGTTATATATAGACGGATGGGTTTTCGTACATACATAGCGATAAAATCAAAATTTGTAGACGTACAATTAATAATAGTAATTAAGACAGGCTTAAGCGTGGCAATCAAATCGACTGAGTTACTATGAAGAAACAAATTATCTGAGGTTATCCTTAAAGGATATCTCTACTAAACGATAAAAATACATAAACGGTTAATTATAGCAAAATGTCATATCTTTTTATCTCCGAGACTAATTCCCATCAGCGTAAATAAACAGGTAATTTAAAACAAATAGGTCCTTATGGTGTGAATTAGTAAAAAACTAAACGTAGACAGTATGGAACGACACAATCAAAAGTAATTTAAGATGCCAGTCGCGATAAGATCGAAGAACAACGCATTGAGTCGGTCAATATCAACGAAATGCTCGTCATAGGAATCTCGCGAGAGCCACGCGAGAGCCACGCGGGAGCCACGCGGGAGCATCGGACGACAACCGTGTGCATGCGCTTTGCTTTAAGAAGTAAATCTGATTGGTGCACGAGAATTGGACCAATCAGTGGGCAAAGGGAATCACCAAGTTAGCTAT